ATATATATATATATATACATATATATGTATATATATATATATATATATATACATAATGAATATGTTTACTTAAGATGTTGCATTATACAATTTTGGTGAAGATTTAATGAGATTACTACAGTCAGAAGTGCAATAAACCATTTATTATTTTTGCCTTAAACAGATCACAACTATATTGGATTTTGAGGTTAGGGTGTTGAGAAACGTCTGACTTTATTTCTCAAACTGCAGACTTCAGAGGTTATTCCTGTTATTTCTTTAACTGGTAACCACAAAATGAAATCTTATGAACGTAATGGAATGAAAAAGTAATTCCCTTATCACAAACGAAAGTGAAGAAGTCCTGATTCACTACTGTTCTAAAAATCTTGCGTCAGCATGCTGGTACTTTACATCTTTAATATTCGCAGAGTTAGTATTTGTTAGAAAATGTTTGAAAATTCTTGATCTAAAAGATGTAGGATACGGGACTCTGGAGACCAGGGTTTGGGGTACCACTGTTGTAGGATATTATGTTCAGGATGTAGCCAATCCCAGTTCTCACAGGGTGAAAGGCAGAGCGCACCCTGCATAGGGTACTGGTCCATCAGGGACCAGGGCTGAAACAAAGAGACATAAAAGGATGACGATATATTCTCATGCACACTCATAACCTAACTGCCGCCTGTCTTTGGACTTGCAGAAAAAGGTCTGGAACAAACTCAGGCAGTTACAGGATGAAAATCTGCAACATCTCAGTCAACAACTCTCAATAAAACTAACAGGACCCTGTTAGGCAGCAGAAAATACTTGATATATTAATATTTTCAAGGGTAGTTTGCAAATTGATCACTGATTCATCCTCACCACACACCCTCAGTACCGCAGAGAGCTATAACCACACAGCTACTGTATGTCTCTGTAGCCTTCTCAAGGAGACAAAAGACTGGGAAGGAGATTTTGGACATTGATCGGAAATGGAGGGGAGGGGAAGGAAGGAGTGACGAGAGGAGGGGAAACGGGGTGAAGGTGGATCAGGACACAGACGGCTTGATTGATTAAAGTATGAAAAGAAATCGACGAGTGGGGTGGGGTTAGGGATCGGGGGAGTTGGTAGAAGAGGACATTAGGTTTCCTAAATGACTTTCTTGAGGACTGGAGAAGCCTGAAACCCCCAGCTCGTCCAACACAGCCTTGGCATGAGTACAACCTGCAGCCAGAGCCTCTTAGTTAGATTGCAATCAATTTCCATGCCTGGGCCAAGTGGGGCTCGCTAGTGCCAAGACTAGGTCTCAACCTTAATAAAGCTGCGTTCATTTATGGAAAGCTTTCACTAAGCTGGCGAATGAGTCCTGCTTACACAAGAACATTCTTTTTTTCCCCCCTCTCCTTTTGCCAGGAACTTAGTTGAAATGCATGTAGACAGCCCTGTTAGGTCCTGTGAGTATTTTCTCAACCCTGAAGCAGCAAACATGGCAGGTTCTTAGAGAAAGCCAGTGATGCCCCTACTCAATGGATTCAGAGCCAGATGGTCTTGCCAAGAAAGGCAATCTGAAGGTGAGAGTTGGGTTTAGCAGGCTCAATTTGAAGGGAAACTACATGAAAGACAGGAATGAAAGTCCATTAAAACCTTTCTCAATGTGTGTTTAGCTGACACTTTGCTACAGATTACGGGTCAAGGTTTGACAGCACAGGGAGAAACTGTCCACAGTAAGAGACAAAGAAACGACTTAAAAATGGCAAAATCAAAAGACCTTTTAACTGACATACAGGCAGACACTGTAAACTGTTAACACTGACAGTAACACAAGACGTGGGCAGGAAATACAACAATCTCCCCCCCCAAAAAAATAAAAAAATCCAAAAAAAGAAATTTAGAAAACACAAAGAAACCAATAGGAAAAAAAAAACATTCTTTGTACAAATATTTGCAGTTCAGGTTAGGTTTCATCGCAACAATGTGTTTGTTACATTTTTTTCTAGCCCAAAGATAATGATCATTTTAACTGTATATTCACGCATGTAATAAAAACAGGCAGGCTTTTTTTTTCTACTTTATTTTTGAGTATATAAGTTACTGTGAGACAGTAACGGGCTGCATGAGAGAGGACAGAGGGTGCCGAAGAATGACAGACTGCAAAAAATAACAGAACAGAGTGTATTTACAACACACCGAACGCTTTCTGTTAAGTAAAAAGAATGCTATATAACTCTATATTTATATATTTATATATATTTATATATGTATATTGGAGGCCCTGGGCTTGGTAGCGCAAGGTAGGAATGCTGTTTTTGCACGTTTTTGTGGAGGTGCGTTGTGGAAAAATCTGATCGTCTGCAGGAAGAGGTTTGATTGCATTAAATCATTAAAATAAGATAAAAGAGGATAGTTTTTTTTTTCAGTCAAGAATTTGTGTCTGCCCAAAGCTTATTTTCAAAGGGATTCTGCATGGTTTGGATAGAGAAAATGAGGACAGGAACATGAAGGGGGCAGACCCAGTTTGGCCTGCAGTGTGGGGAGAAAAGAGGTTATGAAAATGCTGGAATGTGGTTTACAATTTATCTTTTTCACCGCGCTGACAGTTGGGGGGAAAAAAAGGGATGCTTGAGGATTTGATAGTGGACCAGGATGTGTTAGTAGGAAGGTCGCCTTTGTTAATCTGAGCATCTACGAGTAGAAAGAAAGTCTGTGCAGAAAGAAAAGATGTGAATCGGGTGTTTTTCTGTGTGTGGGTCGTGTGTATCTTCAGTTCATCCAAATGTCAGTGCAAAAAATCTCTCTTCCCTGTATCAATGCAAAGAGGGTAGTTGAAGCTTTGCCCACAGTTCTTTACCTCCCTGCCCCTGCTAACATCCCTGCAACAGAGTAAAGAACTGAAGAGTTGTGAAAACAAATGGAGGTTTTTCCCTCTCTCCTCCAGCTTAATCCTCCATATTTTCCTCCTCCTAGCTTTATTCCCTCCCACCACTCTGTCTCCCCACCCATCTAGATGAAGTATTCCTTCTTTTCTTCGGCTCCGGAGTGGCCTCCCTCAGCATTGATGATAGCTGTGTCGGCGTCAGGCGCGTCGTCGGAACCCTTGGCCTCATGGGTCAGATACGTTCCTGTGGGAAAAGGAGAAAAAAAGCGTGAACCAGTGAGCTGGAGACAGCGGGAGAAGGGTGGAGTAATAGATTGCAGAGGCTGTAAAAGACAACCAATAGGATGGGAGGTTTCAGATAAGATTGTAAATATGTTTCATTGCGGTCCCTAAGCTAATACAATGAGTGCTTTCTGTGAATCTTTGTTTTTCTGTTGGTTTAAGTGGCTGAATTACTGTGGCAGAGACTGTGGAGACAGAAAATCAGCCCAACAGAAACACCAATCAGGAAGTTAATTATGTTTTTTATTTACTGCCGCAAATGTTTTCAGCTATTTGTTAGTCACAATATACAGATTCGACATTTCATCACTACCATAGAGCTGTTTTATGTGAGAAAAATTCCTAAAAGGATATTGGTGCTGAGGACTTAGGACAGGCAGCGCTGGGAATGAGGTCTGGCTCCATTTCCCCGACATTCCGATTAATGATGTGGGAAGAACCCTCCCACTTGTTTGGGTTCCTTTAAATCAATAAACTGATGGTAGGCAGCAGCAGATCAAGAATGCAGCAACGATCTGATATTATTTTGTTGTTTTTCTGCTTGCCAAAATATTCTAGTAGCATGCCTTAAAAAGCTTTGTCTCATTTATCTTATAGCAAATACCAAAAGTACCATAATGGTTACCGTTCTTTGTAAGAACAGAATATATTCAGGTAACAACAACAAAAAATCCCATCAAAATCAGTTTTTTTTTTCTTCATAAAGTAAAGTTGATATCATACATGCAAGTTCTGAAATGACTCAGCAGAATACTTTTAAATGTAACTAAGTAGGTAAACAGTAAGTACTATTTATTTATGAAGTTCTTTTCAAAGTAAAAAAGTGCTGTTCAAAAAATAAATCCAATAAAACACATGGGAATGAATTACATACAGTAAATGTATAAAAAAATATATAAAATCCACTATATAAAGCTTTTAAAAACAACAATATTCTCAATTTTTTTATAAATTGACCACACAGTCGACCATACAGAGGGACAGAGGCAAGTTATTCCACAATCTGGGCTGTTTGGGGCGTAGCAGTTAGTAGTCTGGCAGTGGAGTTTTATATAATCTGCTTTTTGTTTAGGGATGATTTATTGAAACATGAAAACAGAATTACTGTATTCAACACGCGATAAAATAAAATAATGAATATATTTTCAAGATCAAGAGTATTGAAGTTTTTTAAACATTTCTGGGTCTTAAGCAGTAGGCTAATACATAAAGTAGTAAATGCAGTCAAATGCATTGTCAAAATTACTGACGCCAACTCCCAGTGATGTAATCAAAGGGTCATCTGTTCAAACCCCAGCTCTCACTGTCGATGCTGAGGCACTTCACCCGCATTGCCTACTGATGATGGTCAGAGGGTCCACTGGCGCTGGTGTACAGCAGCCCTGCTTCTGTCAGTGAGCCCCAGGGCAGCTGCAGTGACCATGTAGCTTGCCACCATGAGTGTAAGTCAATGGGTGAATGACTGAATGGGATGTAATGTTACCATATGGCACTGAATATTAGTTTGTGTTAAAATCTGACAAAAGCCAGAGTTCTTCATTTGTATAAACTGCACCCAATAAAATGCATTTCTTAGTTTACATTAGGAAAACACAATTGCAATACATACAACTTTATCATTTAAATGTATTAAATATAATTTTGGCTCACATAAAGACGTCATCCTTCTTAATGGGTGACAGACTGTATAGATCAAATTATTAAAAGGAAATAAATATCTTCCCATACTTTGACACAAATCTTTAGCAGTAGTATATTGTGAATATTTGATTAGAATGTATTGCTTTAAATTTGCTAAAATTATAAGAACTTTACTCTTAAAGGGGAACAACGTTTTTTCACATTGGCCCCTTGATTTTACCTTATTATATCATGTTCTACTCACCCATATGAGTTTTCTGTCATTTGGAGCTGTTATGAAAATGTTCGGTTCTGTTATATCCAAGTAACATCTTCCTATGGGCAACGAGTTGAAGGAACAAACTAAATTATTCATAACGTATTATTTATGGTATGGCAGCATTCATAACATGTAGGCGAATCACTGTCCCCCAGACATCCGCGGTTATATTTTTTATATTTATATTTATTTTTAAACAAAGCGGCGTGTGTATGACGTCATCCGCACGCGCCAGCTAGTATTCATTCATCCTGTCCGTTGAACTGCTGCTAGTTTTACTCAAATGCCTGGCAGATGTCTAGTGCTACTACCACAGATGATCTCGCTCTCCAAATGGAATTGAACAATTCAGATTAGCTAGCCAAATGAATAGAAGGGGTAGAGCGTAGGCTCGGGCTGCCTGTCATAACTCAAGTCCAGTCCGGCGCGCGGATGACGTCACACACACTCCGCTTTGTTTTAAAAATATATATGAATATAAAAAATATAACCGCGGATGTCTGGGAAGCAGTGATTCGCCTAAATGTTATGAATGCTGGCGTACCATAAAGAATAAATTATGAACAGTTTAGTTTGTGCCTTAAAGTTGTTGCCCATAGGAAGACGTTACTTGGATATAACCTACCGGAATATCTTCAGAACAGCTCCAAATGACACAAAACTCAAATGGGTGAACATGAATATGCTGTAATAATGTAAAATCAAGGGCCCAATGTAAAAAAAACAAAACAGTGTTCCCCTTTAAGGTTGTTTTTGTGTGACACAACTGAATAATAGAGCCAGTACAAAGTCACTTAAATCGAGTCACACAAATAACCAGGGTTGTGACAAAATGATGAACACAAGCAGGCTGTCCTTCTTAACCACACAATAATCAGGATAATCTTCAAGCTATTGTTTCTTTTAATTCAAGCCAATGTTGGCAGATAATAACCTGGATTGTCACGGGATCTAAGTTTTCAGTCTCACAACAAATCCATCTTGAAAGACTCTCTCTGATACGTCTGTCTCGTAACGACCAGCAGTGTTTTTTGAGGCAGGAGATGTAGGAATGACAACAGTCAGAAGGGCCTTGCTGGGCATTACAAACATGGCTACGCTGGAGGACTCACCAGTCAATTTAGCTAAAATAGCGACAATTTCAAGTTTAAAAAAGGAGCAATGAGAAGCACTTTGTGCATTTGTGGATGAGAAAGATGTCTGCGCTTTTCTTCCGATGGGATTTGGAAAAAGTTAGATTTATCTGATTAGGCAATGTCACAATTTGCTGCTAAAGTTGGCTAAAAGCGTATTTTGGAAGGCGGGTCCTAGCTCGCACATCAACCAATCAGCTCCAAGTATTGTACTAAACTCCTTTTCTCGGACAAACTGAACGGCAGCCATCCCCGATTGATAACATAGAACTCAACTCACTTCTACACATATCAATCTGGATACTGCCAGGTTAGGCAGGTAAATGTTCTCAGCTGTGAAAGAAGATTAATAATTTAGTATTTTGGTGAGAAAAGGTAAACTTTTAACAGAAAGAACCTGATTTACTGTTAGTGTTTTCATAGAACTGCAACAGTTGAGTTAATAATTCATTCGAGGCGGGGGGGTGATTGATTTTTCCATCATAATAATGTGATGCATTAATTTACCAAAATGACTGTAACTGATACATTTTCTGTTGAGAGGAAATATTAACTAAAAGAAGAAACTTAGTAAACACAACATGTAATGACCCCCATTGAAAAAGGATTCTTTTAAACTTGCTATGAGACTAGAGCCCAAAAAACAGGATATGGGATGAATTGAATTGGCTAAACCACTAAAGGAAATATCTTTACTAAGATCCTGGATAGCAAATTTAATTATATTAGGTACAAGCTTAAGTAATGCAGCAGCTGTAGTATATCTACATTTTTAATCTGTTTTCTCTAAGCTAGTGAAGTTTTGTCCTTATTTAGGTCACCATTTGTCTTTTTTCAGGGGCTTCATATATCAGCCTTCTCTCTTTCTAGCCCAGTAACAGGCCTTCTCTGTTTTAAAGAGCTCCTAATGATGACACAAAGAACTTTACTGTCATCTAAGTTCCGCCTGTCAATTGGCTCAGCTAATTGATGCCAATTTTAAGCAACGCATAAAACCACAGGCCCCACAATCTCTTATGTGAAAGCAGCCTTATTGTGCCTTGTAATATCATTGTAGAATGGCTTTTAGTGGGTTTTACAGGCCAACGCACCATCATGAATAATCGTGAAGCAGGAGGAAAATGATGCACTGCTTGGATCAGATGCAGAGGAAAACAGCAGTGAATATCCGTTTTTGTGGTTCTTGTTTGCAGGAGACTGACCCATTCCTCTCAGTTTTAAGTCTTTTGTAACCTTTAACAAGATTTCTTTCACAATAGCCTCATATTTACTAACAAAAAGGCACAGCCATGTGTCATGGTGGAAAGGCTGCGTCTAGGGTAATGTGTGTTGCTACTGTAATATAATTTGGCTGCAAACCAAACAGTAAGCTCTTCCAGTTTTTGGTATGAATGGATGAAACATTCAAAGCTTGTGGTATTGGTTTATATCTAATCCTAATTTAAACTTTTCCACAGTTTTATATCTGACCTTTCTAGTGTGCTCTTTGGACATCATGTTCCTACATGTTACAAACTACTGTCACAATTTTCAAATTTACATTTATGAATAATTGGAAACTGTGTAACATTTACTTCTTCAACACTTCTCATATTTTTCTATGACCTAAAATCCCTATAAACCACAAAGAGGTTTGTGGTTGACAACAGGTACTGTAACAAACTCTAATGAGTAGAAATACTCATTATTCTCTATACCAGGGGTAACCAATTAAAAATCAGCGGGGTCCTAATACAAAAAAACATCAAGCAGTAAAGGTCAGGAGACATTTTTAATTAAAATCTGTTACTTTAAAACAAATTTTAACACTGAAATAAAAAGCATGTTTTAA